TTCTGTACACGTCATAGGTATGTTAGGCCAATTATAGAATTCGCTGGACCTGTTTGGTGTCCAACGCTACAACGTGACCGAGACCTGTCAGAAACTATATAAAGGAGAGCTACACGCATCCCTTACGGTGTCCAACGACCCTGTTACGAGGAGAGGCTGAACTTATCCAATTTAACTGGCTTCTGCGATAGGCGCTTACGTGGAAACATGGTGTCTTCGGCACTGACATATCCTCACTTTTCCGTCTCAACAGCAGCAACCTGCGAGAACACAACTATAAAGGGATGAAAGAGAAGTTTCGAACTATACCTCGCCAGCTTTTTCTGTCTAACCGATATCTTCAAATGAAAAACATTCTAACATCCCTACCGTTAATAACAACCAGGAAAATTACAAATTTTTTGTCGACAATTCAAAACTAATATCAAATGTCAAACAAGAATCCTGGGAACAATTATACTCTATAAATAATATAGACAAAGCAACGGGACTGTTCATAGAGAAAATAGAAAAACTAATAGATATTAGTACCAATAAAGTAATAATTAGTCACAAAGAGAAAAGCAGAAATGCCTGGATTACCAAAGGATTAATAACATCGGCAATAGAAAAAGAAAGACTATATAATGTAATGAAACTAACGCCAACTACAGAGAATACCGACTGCTACAACCAATATAAAAATAAATTTATAGAGCTTGTAAGGCAAACCAAACGAAAACATTACCTAAATAAATTGAATAATAACTTAAATGATCCTAAGCGGCTTTGGACAACTATTGATGAGATTACTGGGAAAACAAAATTTAAAGAGTGTGTCACTGAGTTAAATACAACATCGGGAACAGTATTAAAAAATACTCAACAGGTATGCGATGAATTTATACAATTCTTTACTGACATAGGCGGAAATTTATCAAGTAATATACAAGCAAATGTACAAAATACTCAGCCTCCAAAAAGAACTTTGAACTCATTTATTTTGGATAAAGTCGAGCAATGTAAAGTATACACCACTGTTATGTCCTTAAAAAATCGGAAAAGTCCTGGGTTCGATGGTATTAAAAGCGAGCATTTGAAAATTATAGCCGAGGACATAACAGAACCACTCACTTATCTAATCAACAAATGCTTTGAATCTGGCATATATCCCTCAATTTTAAAAAAAGGTAATATAATACCGATACATAAATCAGGAACAAAAACAGATGTTAACAACTATAGACCAATATCAATAATATCCAGTGTAGCAAAGGTTTTTGAAAAAGTTTTATCTACTAGAATGATTCGATACCTCACAAAATTCAAAATTTTAAGTGAAAATCAATATGGATTTACAGAAGGGAAGGCTACATCGGACGCAATAACTAAAATTGTAAATCAAATACATCAAAATATTGATAACCGAATCCCTTCAATCTGCATTTTTGTTGATTTAAAGAAAGCTTTCGACACAGTTAATCACAAATTATTATTAGAAGCATTGGAGAGAATTGGTTTCAGAGGAAACGCGTACTCACTGATCGAAAGTTATTTGTCAAATCGCCCACAATCTGTGCAGATATCAGGATCATTTAGTAAAGAAATGTATATTAAGTGTGGTGTCCCACAAGGAACTGTCTTAGGTCGGCTGTTATTCAATATATATTTAAATGATATTTTCCAAATTAATTGTGTTGGCAAAATAACTAGTTTTGCAGATGATACTGCAATATTATATGAAGGCACTGACTGGTCTGATCTGAAAAATGTAATTGAAAATGATTTTATCAAAATTATTCGGTGGTTTAACAGTAGAAAATTAAGCATTAACTACTCTAAAACACATTTTTTACCATTTGGATCTTATGCTAGACATCTGCCAAATTATACAAATTTCTCCTTCAATATTAATGATCAAAAAATGCAAACTAATAGAGTGCCCAACATAAAATACCTTGGAGTGGTCTTGGATCCTCACTTACGATGGGACATCCATGTCAATTATATTTTAAAGAAAGTTAGATTTGTATCCTACAAAATTAAATACCTTGGGAATATATTGACAGAAAAATATCTTCGAACATTATACCATGCACTGATTGAGCCTCATCTCACATATGGTATATTAGCATGGGGAGCTGCATGTTCCTCACATATCTATAATTTAGATGTTTTTCAAAAAAGTATTCTAAAAATGATATTTAAAAAACCGAAACTTTATCCCACTGAAAAATTATACGCAGATGTTCGAATGTATGATATAAGACAGCTTTATTTCTTACACAGTATCACTCACTACCATAAATTTGTAAACACCGACCAAAAAATTAAACATAATCATTATACCAGGTACAAAATTCGTGGCACAGTAGTTCCTCAACCGCATAAATCTATAATGCAGCGATCATATCTCTATTTAGCGCCTAAATTTTATGAAATTATACCTAAAGACTTAAAGGTTTACGTTTCGGAAATTGTTTCAAAAGAAATTTAAAAAAGTGGCTACATTCTATATCTAGGACTGAAATTCATAAACTCATAAATACGAACATCAACTAAATACATAATCTACTGTCCTTTTTTGTCATTTGCATTCTACAGTTTCAACTTAAATTATTGGTCCATGTACAGGCGATGCCTTCTATTGGGCCTGTTTTGATTTTATATTTATTTACTCATATTGTTTGTTATCTTTGTACATTGAGTGAATAAATGTTATTATTATTATTATTATTTGATACCTGGAACTGGCTACACTACCCAAGACGTTGTTAATCCGTTCACAGTTAACAGGTTCAAGAATCTTTTCGACAGATGGATGAACGATGAACTCTAGTTTTCTTATGGCATTATCTTTATTATTTTTTTATGTTCAATTTCTTATCTTTGTTTGGAGTTTACGAGTATAGCATTGGCTCAACTACTCTATTATGTTTAACAATCATAATAATAGTTACTCAAACTTTCGATAGTCCATGTATGCTATCATCATCAGGAGTGACTCGGTGAGGATGGTGCTAAAATTGGGTCTTAGAAATGAGAATGAGATCATATAGTAGAACGATAAAAAACTGCATTTATAAGGTTATTTTTGAAAAATTAGTAAAATCTGTGGCCATGTTTAACAAAACACCACAAACGGATTTAAAGAAGTTACTGATTAATTAATTATTAAAACGTATGGCTTATTGAGGTTATTCCAGAATGTGAAATTGTCCGTTCTCCTGAAGATGTAGAGCAAGGATTTCATTCACCTTTTATATACTAAGTGACATATAAATCCGAACACCCAGTTTGAATGGTTTTATTTTAATAAAAGTTGGTGAATGTATTTATCTTACTGTAAATAACAAGTGAAAAAATTTTCAGCCTTATCAGTTGGACATTCCGGTTTTTATACTGCTTTTTTTTAATCACTAACGCTCTAAAAATGAATATTTCAGCCGCAGTAAAGAATCAACGTTGGCGGATTTTGGTTCTTGACATCCTTTACGATCGGTTACGATGCCTAGAGTACGGAGACCTGTACGATTTCGTCAACTTAGTGAGTTTGATAGGGGCCGTATAGTGGGACTTCGGGAAGCTGGACTTTCTTTTCGGGCAATTGCAGTTAGAGTGCAACGAAGTGTAGACACTGTGGTTAGGTGTTGTCAGGCATTTCTTCGAGAAGGCCGTACGCAAAGAGCAAGGAGCACTGGACGCCGCCGTAGAACAACAGACCGTGAAGATCGCCGCCTAAGATTATTGGCCTTAAGGGACCGTTTCTCCACTACCAGGTCCATTGCAAATGAATGGTTTGCAGAACACGGAAGACCTATTGGCATATGAAGTGTTTACCGACGAATGAGAAGTTTTGACTTGTTTTCATACCGGCCACACTGGGTCCTCCCTTTAACTCGAGAACACCGACGTAATCGCTTTGAGTGGTGCAGACAACGGTCACTCTGGGATCAGGAATGGAACAGTATTGTCTTTAGTGACGAGTCTCGATTTTGTTTAGGCATGCACGAAGGTCGTGCCAGGGTTAGAAGGCGACGTGGTGAAAGGAGGAATCCACAGTTTTTTGTTGAAAGACATGTTCATCACACTGGAGTTATGGTTTGGGGTGCTATAGCTCATGGTGCCAGGTCACCTTTAATCTTCGTCAGAGGTAACATGAACGCGCAGCGTTATATCCACGAAGTTCTAGAACCCCATCTTTTACCCTATCTTGACACCCTGGCAGATCCAACTTTCCAACAAGATAATGCCCGACCACATGTTGCAAGAGTCACAATAGACTTCTTTCAACATAATGATGTCACATTGTTACCATGGCCACCAAGATCTCCCGACTTATCTCCAATTGAGCACGTGTGGGATATGATGGGTAGGAGATTGCTCAATTTGCAACGTCCTCCTCAGACTCTAGAAGCACTTCGAGAGGAGTTGGTGGTTGCCTGGAATGAGATACCACAGAAGGACATTGACCACCTGACTAGAAGCATGCCTAGGCGCGTTGGAGAATGCATAGCACATCAGGGTGCATCCACACATTATTAAAGGTCAAAGGGCTTTAAAGCAGTGCAATCATTTTGAATTTTTTATCATTTACTTATTATGCTTCATTAAGTACTTATACAAAATTTTATTAAAATAAAACAATTTAAACTGGGTGTTCGGATTTATATGTCACTTAGTATATAATTGTGGAAGTTTTGGGCTTGTACTTCAGCCTCGGTAGACCACAGCTTAGACTCAACAGTTTTATACAGAGGGGATTGCTAAGGAAAATTGTGTGAGCCTCCTCCGTCGATGTTGCATTTTCGACTTGAAAAAAGGAGTTATTGTTGACTATTACATTCTTTTGGTCAACCACGTTTTGTTCAGTAATAACTAAGTTTGCGTACAGTCTGTTAAACTCTGTATAAATCTTAAATCTCCATCCTGACAAGTTATTAAATCTATTCATTTGTTTGGTCCACTTTAAGCGCTTTCAAGATTTAGTTCTTATTTACTAGTTTTTAATTGTTCGTTGCAGAAAAATGACTCTTGTCCAGCCCAGTCCCGAGCTTCAAACTTTCATCAGGAATGAACTGAATGAAGATGTCAGTACAAGAGATAACGACTTGCAGTACATAAAGGATTGGCTTGCAAAACAACCGCATTTGCCAGACACATGGGGTAAGAAATACAATTATACTATAAAGGGCTTACCAGTAAGAAAGAAGTTATGATGCGTGAGGTATTAACGAAATATTTTTTTCATTACTAACCCTAGAGACCCCCATTATTGAGAAGTAGCATCAATCTTCATAGGTAAATAACGAAAACAAAGAAGAAACAATAATTCAATTAAAAATTGTATACTGTCAATTTCATTGTGACTGTATGACAACTGAACCCTAGATTCCGAAGTATTTTAGAATGATCGAGAAATGAAGTAATTTTGTGTACTGCTTCTTAAATTATGTATGTAAATGTACATTGTACCTCTCGGATGGACCAGTTAAAATCAAATCGACTGTCTATAGCATTCGTTAGTTTGACACCAGGTTACTAGATATTTTATAGTATTTGTGAAATTGAATATTCTGTTATATGTATGTAGTAGTAATCTATGCATACCTCGTCTAAGAAGGCCATTACTGGTCTCGCACATTATAGTGCTTGCCTAACAATTACCTACTTCTCGAACTAGCTCTATAATGTGCCATTTTGTATTTGAAGGTTTCATGAATGCCATTTGATTGATATGGCATCGTTCATTTAAGTGATGGCTTAGGTTGTATTGACATCGTGATTTAACCGCCAAAAAACCTATAAAGCCTAATGCACTGATAACCATGTTCAAACCATGCCTAGCCGACCGCTTAGATAACTATACAGCGCACCAATAATCACTGATCAACAGCCAAAAAATATCCTAAATAAAATCAACAAAATATTACTATTTTTAATGTGCTAAAACCGGAATGAAACTTATTTTTTCAATATTAGTTCAAGTTTTAGAGATACGGTAATTATATGTGTTCCTGCTGTGACAGTGTTAATATACTGTAATTCACAAGAATGCACGTGCTACATTTTTATATTCGGCAAGAAAAGATGATGTAATCGGCATGATTGTGTTACGTTATACATACGTGTACATTATATTGTTTTATATTAGCCATTTTTTCCTCAGTTGGCTGACAGCGTTCATGCAAGATGTCTCGAAAGTGTGTAAACAATCCAGATCAGTTTTGTTACGTGTGTGGTGATGTGACTTTTGCGTCTCAGAGACGGTCTATTACTCCACTAATAACAAAGGCATATCAGCTTTATTTCGGTTGTAAACTAGGTGATCAAGACAAACAGTGGGCACCCCACATCTGCTTCAAGTCTGAGGAGCTGGTTAAATGGCAAAAAACGGTCTATGCGCTTTGCTGTCCCAATGGTTTGGAGAGAGCCTATAAATCATATTAATGATTGTTACTTTTGCATGGTACTTTGTGTTGGACAAGCCACAGGTATGTCCAAGAAAAAAAAATCGGTAATTAACTACACAAACATACCATCTGCGATGAGACCTGTGCCTCACAGTGACGAAAATCCTATTCCAAAACCCCCAGAATCCTACACTTGCGAATCAGAAAACGAATCAGATCATGGCGATCGAGTGATTCGTCAGAAAGAAGATATGCCATCAACGTCAAGAGATCCTGATTTTATACCGAGCACGTCACGCCACCAACCGCACAAAATAACACAGTCAGAATTAAATGATCTTGTAAGAGATTTAGAACTTCCAAAATGTAAGGCAGAGTTACTTGGATCAAGACTGCAGCAGTGGAACTTGTTAGAAGACGATGTTTCGTTATGTGTTTTTCGTAAACGCCACAAAGACTTAGAACCATTTTTCAATATGGAGAATAACTTGATTTTCTGCAGTAACATTAACGGCTTACTGGCCGCTTTAAATATAAACTATAACCCAGAAGAATGGAGATTGTTTATAGACAGTTCAACATTGAGTTTAAAGGCAGTGTTATTGCATATTCGAAATATTTTACCATCTCTTCCTGTAGGGTATGCAGTTCACATGAAAGAATCATATGACAATATGAAGTACCTATTAACATGCATAAAATACGATGAGCAACAATGGCATATTTGTGGCGATTTGAAAGTTGTTGCACTTTTACTTGGGCTGCAGCTAGGCTACACAAAGTTTTGCTGTTTTTTGTGTGAATGGGACAGTCGGGCAAAGGCACTTCATTACACCAGACAAAACTGGCCTGTTCGTCAATTCCTAGAGCCAGGTCAAAAAAATGTACAGCATATGCCATTAGTAGATTCGAAAAAAAATTTATTACCACCACTGCATATCAAGTTGGGCCTAATGAAAAACTTTGTCACGGCATTAGATAGAGATGGGTCAGCTTTTCAATACCTGCGTCAGAAATTTCCAAGACTAAGTGAGGCAAAGGTTAAAGAAGGTATTTTTGTTGGGCCACAGATTCGAAATATTTTGAAAGATACACAGTTTGAAAACACTTTAACAGGTATTGAAAAACTGCTTGGAATGATTTCCGTCTGGTGGTCACTAATTTCTTGGGAAATAGAAAAGCTGACAACTATAAAACCCTTGTCAAAAATATGCTGTCATCGTATCAAAAGATGGGCTGTAATATGTCTCTTAAGATACATTTCCTACACTCACACCTGGACTTTTTTCCTGACAATTGCGAAGCCGTAAGTGATGAGCACGGCGAACGTTTTCATCAGGATATTTCAACAATGGAAAAAAGGTACCAGGGAAAGTGGAATCCTTCCATGCTTGCAGACTACTGTTGGACTCTTGGTAGAGATGCTCCAGAAACGATCCATAAAAGAACAGCAAAAAGACAGCGCATATAGTGATTCTTATAAGTATATGAATCTTGTTACTTTTTTTAATATATCCTTAAAAATAAAAAGTTTTTTTTCTAAACCGCAACTAATTTTTTTATTTCATTGTCATTTTTGGATTCAGCGCCCCAAAATTAACAAAGAGGTGCACTTTTCCCATAAGATACAATTAAAAAACTAAAATTTGTTGTCCAGTGTAATTTTTTGACAATGAGGTCACAAATTTGCACAACTTAAATGGAAGAATCTACAACATATTGTGGAGCACTTGTGTAGTAAATGCTGTGTCCTACATTAGCCCATCGTGTCAAACAATGCTACGACAGATTTTGTATTCAGATAATATACATATTAATGTTATGTTGCAGATGAACAAAGGTTGATGACTTTCCTTAGAGGCTGTAAATTTTCATTGGAGAAGACCAAGAGGAAGCTAGACATGTACTTCACCATGCGTACAGCTTGCCCAGAATTCTTCGCCAATCGTGATATAACTAGACCAGAGTTCAAACCAATAATAGACATAGGGTGAGCGAGCCTTTTGCTATATAGAGTAAGATCACATGGATGCCGGATAATAATTAGCCTCTCAATGACAAAACTTGGGGCATACCGTGGCATTTATATTCACTTTCATTAGCTTCGTATCTACTCTAAGTTGGATAGTGGTCCGATTTACAGATACGTGGTGAGTAAAATAAGAATAACGTCATTTAGATAACTTATTTTTATAAGGGGTGGGCCATCAGTTGTTTTTTTTAAGTTGGTATTATTTCGACACCTGGTAACACTTCCATGCTCAACATATTGACAGATATATTGTGTCAAACTTCCGCTATGAACGATGGATCGTTTTGATCTTGAACAAAGATGGGAAATATTGAAAAACTATTTTCATAGTGAGTGCAGAAACTGCGAAAAGACTATTTGGTCGGAATGAAGCTCCGTCCGCGACTGGTATACGAAAATTCGTATATATATATTTTCCGCCTTTTGTTGGGTACTTCGACAAAATTTAAGCAAAGAGGACTCTTTATACTTTTTTTAATTCTCTCTAGCTTTCAATGGACTTTGCCATCATCATCAGGAGCTGCAATTACAATGATAACAGTAGCAACAAAAGTGTAAAATGAATTTAAATTGACTCAACTTACAGTAGTATGTGAGGATGTTGCTAATTGTTGTTTACGTATAGGATGAGGGAAACGTCCAGTAACATGGTGAGAGCTGGATAGAATGTACAATGGTCAAAATTATATAAAATATGACAAGAACAAGTTAAAAACAGATTAAAAATTATTAAAAAACATTAGAGCATTACATCGTGAAGCCACTTGATGATTGCACAAATTAGTGGTCATGGAATAATGAGTGAGATGAAACCCTTTGACAGAAGGCCGGAGGATGTCAATTTCTGTGTTGAAAGATGGAACGAATTGTGGGCGTGTGCCAAACGTTGCCAAATCACTTCAGATGATGTGATTTTCAGAATGTTATTTAAGAAACTGTTAAACCGACCAAAGGCAGTTGAATTAACTATATTTTAATTAATGGGAAATTAAATTAACAATTATTATTAAATCGTGAGAAGAAAATTATTAGAATTTGAGTGGAATGAAATTTACTGGTGGAATCGGCCAAAACACAGATTCTAATTATGGTTGTGAAGAGTCGAAATTTGGGGAGATATGTAAGTTCTCCAATTTTTCGCAGTTTAGCAAATATGAGTAAATGACAGTTGTTTAACATCTGTCTTTTTGTTGATACAGTTGTTATTCATGAAGATGTGGGACATTTCCAGGAATAAACGTTTGGAAAGGTGTTTTTCTTTATCAAGAACTTTGATACTTGTGTAATTCATAGAATGGCCTGTTGTGTTAATATGAGATGCTAGAGCGCATCTTTCAGGATGAAGCCTAGCATCACTTTTGTGTGATGTAATCCTTCCTTTAAGAGATCTGGAGGTCTGACCTATGTATATTTTGTTGCAGTTGTTGCAATTGATGGAGTAGACTGTGTTGGTTAAGCCAAGCAGCGGGACTTTGTCTTTCATTTTTGAAAAAATGCAGTTTATAGTGAGGACGGATTTGCAAGCAATTCGAAAGTTCAAAGGACTGCACAATCTGATCAGCTTAGGGGTCAGTTCCTTGATATAGGGCAGGACAGCAAAACCAGGTCTGGAGTCCGGGTTGGTGCTTGTACTGTTAGGATTGATGTTATTATTGGGAATTACATCAGTTCCGTTATTAGGGGTTGTGCGACTATTATCTGCATCACCAGAGTTCGGCAAAATATTAGAAGGTGAACTAAATAAGATCTTGTTAATCAGACACTTCGGATAACCATTATTGATGAACAGTTTTGATAGTTTACGTAAATTTGAGGTGTGGAAGGTATTATCTGAGATGCTGATTACCCTTGTTTTCATCTGTTTTACCAAATTGATTTTAATCCCTAGCTTATGGTATGACTTAAAATTGAGAAACCGACCTGAGGCCATAGGTTTCTGGTACCAGTCTACCAATAAACTATTGTTGCTGGTGCGGATGAGTCTTGTGTCTAGAAAGGGGACAGACAGGTTCTCATCTTCTTTTTCAATGGTAAATTGGATGTAGGGGTCATAGCTGTTGAATTCTCTGACAATACCATCCAGACCTATGGAGGGGAGGCATACGATAATGTTATCTACGTATTTTTTTATGAAGAAGAGGTTATAGGGTAGTGTCGGAATAACATTTCATTCCACTCAAAATATAATAATTCTCTTCTCACGATTTATTAATAATTGTTAATTTAAATTCCCATTAATTAAAATATAGTTTATTCAACTGCCTCTGGTCGGTTTAACAAATTCTTACATAAAATTCTAAAATCACATCATCTGAAGTGATTTGGTAACGTTTGGCACACGCCCACAATTCGTTCCATCTTTCAACACAGACATTGACATCCTTCGGCCTTCTGTCAAAGGGTTTCATCTCACTCATTATTCCATGACCACTAATTTGTGCAATCATCTAATGTTTTTTAATAATTTTTAATCTGTTTTTAACTTGTTCTTGTCATATTTTATATAATTTTGACCATTGTACATTCTATCCAGCTCTCACCATGTTACTGGACGTTTCCCTCATCCTATACGTAAACAACAATTAGCAACATCATCACATACTACTGTAAGTTGAGTCAATTTAAATTCATTTTACACTTTTGTTGCAAAGTCCATTGAAAGCTAGAGAGAATTAAAAAAAGTATAAAGAGTTCTCTTTGCTTAAATTTTGTCGAAGTACCCAACAAAAGGCGGAAGCTTTAATTTTTCACCTAACTGGTCTAGACGACAATGACCACGTCTCAAGTTATATATATATATATATATACTAAGTGACATATAAATCCGAACACCCTGTTTAAATGGTTTTATTTTAAAAAAATTTTATATAAGTACTTAATGAAGCATAATAAGTAAATGATAAAAATTTCAAAATGATTGCACTGCTTTAAAGCCCTTTGACCTTTAATAATCTGTGGATGCACCCTGATGTGCTACGCATTCTCCAACGCGCCTAGACATGCTTCTGATCAGGTGGTCAATGTCCTCCTGTGGTATCTCATTCCAGGCAACCACCAACTCCTCTCGAAGTGCTTCTAGAGTCTGAGGAGGACATTGCAAATTGAGCAATCTCCTACCCATCATATCCCACACGTGCTCAATTGGGGATAAGTCGGGAGATCTTGGTGGCCATGGTAACAATGTGACATCATTATGTTGAAATAAGTCTATTGTGACTCTTGCAACATGTGGTCGGGCATTATCTTGTTGGAAAGTTGGATCTGCCAGGGTGTCAAGATAGGGTAAAAGATGGGGTTCTAGAACTTCGTGGATATAACGCTGCGCGTTCATGTTACCTCTGATGAAGATTAAAGGTGACCTAGAACCATATGCTATAGCACCCCAAACCATAACTCCAACAGTGTGATGAACTTGTCTTTCAACAAAAAACTGTGGATTCCTCCTTTCACCACGTCGCCTTCTAACCCTGGCACGACCATGGTGCATGCCTAAACAAAATCGAGACTCGTCACTAAAGACAATACTGTTCCATTCCTGATCCCAGAGTGACCGTTGTCTGCACCACTCAAGGCGATTACGTCGGTGTTCTCGAGTTAAAGGAAGGACCCAGTGTGGCCGGTATGAAAACAAGCCAAAACTTCTCATTCGTCGGTAAACACTTCACATGCCAATAGGTCTTCCGTGTTCTGCAAACCATTCATTTGCAATGGACCTGGTAGTGGAGAAACAGTCCCTTAAGGCCAATAATCTTAGGTGGCGATCTTCACAGTCTGTTGTTCTACGGCGGCGTCCAGTGCCCCTTGCTCTTTGCGTACGGCCTTCTCGAAGCCATGCCTGACAACACCTAACCACAATGTCTACACTTCTTTGCACTCTAACTGCAATTGCTAGAAAAGAAAATCCAGCTTCCCGAAGTCCCACTATACGGCCCTTATCAAACTCACTAAGTTGACGAAATCGTACACGTCTCCGTACTCTAGGCATCGTAACCGATCGTAAAGGATGTCAAGAACCAGAATCCGCCAACGTTGATTCTTTACTGCGGCTGAAATATTCATTTTTAGAGCGTTAGTGAATTAAAAAAAAGCAGTATAAAACCCGGAATGTCCAACTGATAAGGCTGAAAAATTTTTCACTTGTTATTTACAGTAAGATAAATACATTCACCAACTTTTATTAAAATAAAACCATTTAAACTGGGTGTTCGGATTTATATGTTACTTAGTATATTTAGTTGACACAAGTATTTGGTGCCTTTATTCAATGCGGCCTAAAGAATCTTGCAAGTAGTAGTAGCAGGAGTGCTTCCTGTTCTGATTTAGCATCATAAGACATCGTAATATTGCGTTCATTTTATGTGGTATGCCAAAATACTCCTTTGTGTAAATCTTTGTTGTTAGTGAGTAAATTTCTGTAACAAAATCTGAGCATTATCTGCATAAACACGATTGTGAAGCATCCAATCTGAATAATTTCTGACGCAGTAGAAGTGTGTCTAGGTTAATTCACATTCAAAGATACTCCTTGATCTGCCGAAATCATTGGGAAACCGGTTTGGATGTTTGGTAATGATCAAACGTTTCGCTATTTTTAGTTAGTGGAAAATTATGGTAATTCCTACGTCTGTAAATATGTTGAATAGTAATAATAGGTAACGTTTCGTTTTAATTTCACATTTCAGTGATTATAGGAACCAGACTTGTAATTTCAGAAGAATACTGTAATGTGCTTTCCAAAGCCCTCAAGATTGGTTTCCATTTCTGCGAAATTATTTAATTCGTATATGTAATTATGCACTACATATTCAAAAACATCTTCGAAGACAATAATAGAAGAATACTTCTGGGGTGGCAATGTTTGACAGTATATCAAAATAACGACATTTCTCAGTGTAGAAAATGCTACCGTTTTAATCATACAGAAAAGAATTGCAGGAATGAGAAGATATGTGCCAACTGTGGCAACGGTCACGAAGGAGAAAATTGTAAGCATGTATCAATAGAATGCTGCAACTGTAGATATGGAAATGAAAGATATAAAAAAAAATATAATATTAACCACTCACCTACCGACAAAAACTGTCCATCGTACAAATATTATCAGGAACAACAAAACTTAAGGATACTTTTTTAAAATTCAAGTTCATCTTTTGACACTCCTATCTCTAAAGAGGACCTAAAAATGTCAGTAAATAAATACATCAATGATTTCCAAATTCCAAATGTTGCAACAAATATAGCACAAAACGTCGATGAACTTAATTTATGTACACAAAATTCTGATGCAAAATTTCGAATTTTTAATATGAACATAAGGAGTATAAAACACAACATTGATTACTTAAAAATACTACTCGACCAAATATGGTACAATTTTGATCTAATAGTTTTAACTGAAACGTGGCAAGTGGTTAATATTTCTTGCTTCAATCAGCAGGGATATATAACTTTGGCACTTATAACCAAAACGATGGGGTGATAGCTTTTGTAAGAAATAAACTGCAATATAATCATGATACATTCACTTTCACCGATGGAATCAAAATTTTAAACATAATGATCCAAATTAACCATAACAAAATTGAGGTATCTGCAATTTATCGTCCGCCATGTTCAGAACCACACGAGTTTTTGAAGAATATCGATTTTTTTTTCAAAATCAAAATAAAGTTCATTTAAAGCAACATATTTTCTTGGGAGATGTCAATATAAATATTTTGGACAATGATCCCATCACAAATGAATACTTGAATATCCTATCAAGTAACGGATTTCTGTCCTATATAAACCTTCCTACAAGTCCATCAGTGGCACACGTATAGATCACTGCTTTGTGAAAGACCTATCCAACAAAATTACTTGTATACCAATAATCCTAGAAAGCGATATTACTGACCACTTCTCCACTATTTTACTGATATCTTCAAATGAAAAACATTCTAACATCCCTACCGTTAATAACAACCAGGAAAATTACAAATTTTTTGTCGACAATTCAAAACTAATATCAAATGTCAAACAAGAATCCTGGGAACAATTATACTCTATAAATAATATAGACAAAGCAACGGGACTGTTCATAGAGAAAATAAAAAACTAATAGATATTAGTACCAATAAACTAATAATTAGTCACAAAGAGAAAAGCAGAAATGCCTTTATTACCAAAGGATTAATAACATCGGCAATAGAAAAAGAAAGACTATATAATGTAATGAAACTAACGCCAACTACAGAGAATACCGACGGTTACAACCAATATAAAAATAAATTTATAGAGCTTGCAAGGCAAACCAAACGAAAACATTACCTAAATAAATTGAATAATAACTTAAGTGATCCTAAGCGGCTTTGGACAACTATTGATGAGATTACTGGGAAAACAAAATTTAAAGAGTGTGTCACTGAGTTAAATACAACATCGGGAACAGTATTAAAAAATACTCAACAGATATGCGATGAATTTGTACAATTCTTTACTGACATAGGCGAAAATTTAGCAAGTAATACACAAGCAAATGTACAAAATACTCAGCCTCCAAAAAGAACTTTGAACTCATTTATTTTGGATAAAGTCGAACAATGTGAAGTATACACCACTGTTATGTCCTTAAAAAATCGGAAAAGTCCTGGGTTCGTTGATATTAAAAGCGAGCATTTGAAAATTATAGCCGAGGACATAACAGAACCACTCACTTACCTAATCAACAAATGCTTTGAATCTGGCATATATCCCTCAATTTTAAAAAAAGGTAATATAATACCGATACATAGATCAGGAACAAAAACAGATGTTAACAACTATAGACCAATATCAATAATATCCAGTGTAGCAAAGGTTTTTGAAAAAGTTTTATCTACTAGAATGATTCGATACCTCACAAAATTCAAAATTTTAAGTGAAAATCAATATGGATTTACAGAAGGGAAGGCTACATCGGACGCAATAACTAAAATTGTAAATCAAATACATCAAAATATTGATAACAGAATCCCTTCAATCTGCATTTTTGTTGATTTAAAGAAAGCTTTCGACACAGTTAATCACAAATTATTATTAGAAGCATTGGAGAGAATTGGTTTCAGAGGAAACGCGTACTCACTAATCGAAAGTTATTTTTCAAATCGCCCACAATCTGTGCAGATATCAGAATCATTTAGAAAGAAATGTATATTAAGTGTGGTGTCCCACAAGGAACTGTCTTAGGTCCGCTGTTATTTAATATATATTTAAATGATATTTTCCAAATTAATTGTGTTGGCAAAATAACTAGTTTTGCAGATGATACTGCAATATTATATGAAGGCACTGACTGGTCTGATCTGAAAAATGTAATTGAAAATGATTTTATCAAAATTATTCGGTGGTTTAACAGTAGAAAATTAAGCATTAACTACTCTAAAACACATTTTTTACCATTTGGATCTTATGCTAGACATCTGCCAAATTACACAAATTTCTCCTTCAATATTAATGATCAAAAAATGCAAATTAATAGAGTGCCCAACATAAAATACCTTGGAGTGGTCTTGGATCCTCACTTACGATGGGACATCCATGTCAATTATATTTTAAAGAAAGTTAGATTTGTATCCTACAAAATTAAATACCTTGGGAATATATTGACAGAAAAATATCTTCGAACGTTATACCATGCACTGATTGAGCCTCATCTCACATATGGTATATTAGCATGGGGAGCTGCATGTTCCTCACATATCTATAATTTAGATGTTTTTCAAAAAAGTATTCTAAAAATGATATTTAAAAAACCGAAACTTTATCCCACTGAAAGATTATATGCAGATGTTCGAATGTATGATATAAGACAGCTTTATTTCTCACTACCATAAATTTGTAAACACCGACCAAAAAATTAAACATAATCATTATACCAGGTACAAAATTCGTGGCACAGTAGTTCCTCAACCGCATAAATCTATAATGCAGCGATCATATCTCTATTTAGCGCCTAAATTTTATGAAATTATACCTAAAGACTTAAAGGATTTACGTTTCGGAAATTGTTTCAAAAGAAATTTAAAAAAGTGGCTACATTCTATATCTAGGACTGAAACTCATAAACTCATAAATACGAACATCAACTAAATACATAATCTACTGTAGCTAATTTTTGTCCTTTTTTGTCATTTGCATTCTACAGTTTCAACTTAAATTATTGGTCCATGTACAGGCGATGCCTTCTATTGGGCCTGTTTTGAGTTTATATTTATTTACTCATATTGTTTGTTATCTTTGTACATTGAGTAAATAAATATTATTATTATTACAATGTATTATACGAACCGGCACGATGGCTGGGCCAAAATATCCGTAGACGACTAATGACCTATAGTAAAACTTTCTTCACTTTGCTGATAAAATTGACCCGCAATTGTACCAAGGAGAATACTGAAAATCTTAGATGAAGGATGGTCATACCTATGTAGAAACACTTGGCGATACCTTTGAGGAATATCATTTTTAAAACATAGCTCCCACATGAACATGATGTGTTTGAAAAATTGTTGGCTTTATTTGAAAGCAACTTCTCGTACTACTTATTGGGGTATTTTATAACAGCTGTTTTATTTTCCAGCACCATCCCCCCATTGCCAGGCCTCACCCCCGACGGTAAACGGGTGATAGTTCTGCGAGGCAAAGACAAAGACGTCGAAACTCCCAACATCGCCGACATCATGAAGGTGATTCTAATGATAGGAGATATTCGCTTGGCTGCGGAAGAAACAGGAGTTGCTGGAGACGTTTACATCTTAGACGCCAGTGTCGCCACCACCAATCACTTCACCAAAATCACTCCCGCTATGGTTAAGAAATTCTTGGTTTGTGTGCAGGTAAAAGCAGTTTTTATTTATTGTACATGCATATCTGCAGGCTGCCTCACGTAGAACTTCAGCGATTTATAAACAGTTGGCGTTAGACGATTATGAATTTTGCAGTGTTCTGGAGAAGTTATTTGCGAAAAATCAATTTCCAGTAGCGTCATTTAGGGGCTTGTACCTCTACGGACGATGATGACGATCATTCTTTATGAGAAATTGTGGCATTATCTTTCGAGGCCTATACCGGGTGTTCCAAATTCTCCTCTCACCATTGGGTGACACAAACTTTTTAAAAAACATCAATGAATATAAGACAATATTGGTTGTAGGTTATAAGTATGATAAAAAAATGTACCAAATGTGAAAACATGACTTTTTATATTTGATATATACTAAGTGACATATAAATCCGAACACCCAGTTTAAATGGTTTTATTTTAATAAAATTTTGTATAAGTACTTAATGAAGCATAATAAGTAAATGATAAAAATTTCAAAATGCTGCTTTAAAGCCCTTTGACCTTTAATAATGTGTGGATGCACCCTGATGTGCTACGCATTCTCCAACGCGCCTAGGCATGCTTCTGATCAGGTGGTCAATGTCCTCCTGTGGAATCTCATTCCAGGCAACCACCAACTCCTCTCGAAGTGCTTCTAGAGTCTGAGGAGGACGTTGCAAATTGAGCAATCTCCTACCCATCATATCCCACACGTGCTCAATTGGGGATAAGTCGGGAGATCTTGGTGGCCATGGTAACAATGTGACATCATTATGTTGAAAGAAGTCTATTGTGACTCTTGCAACATGTGGTCGGGCATTATCTTGTTGGAGAGTTGGATCTGCCAGGGTGTCAAGATAGGGTAAAAGATGGGGTTCTAGAACTTCGTGGATATAACGCTGCGCGTTCATGTTACTTCTGATGAAGATTAAAGGTGACCTGGAACCATAAGCTATAGCACCCCAAACCATAACTCCAACAGTGTGATGAACATGTCTTTCAACAAAAAACTGTGGGTTCCTCCTTTCACCACGTCGCCTTCTAACCCTGGCACGACCATCGTGCATGCCTAAACAAAATCGAGACTCGTCACTAAAGGCAATACTGTTCCATTCCTGATCCCAGAGTGACCGTTGTCTGCACCACTCAAGGCGATTACGTCGGTGTTCTCGAGTTAAAGGGAGGACCCAGTGTGGCCGGTATGAAAACAATCCAAAACTTCTCATTCGTCGGTAAACACTTCGCATGCCAATAGGTCTTCCGTGTTCTGCAAACCAACATTTGCAATGGACCTGGTAGTGGAGAAACGGTCCCTTAAGGCCAATAATCTTAGGCGGCGATCTTCACGGTCTGTTGTTCTACGGCGGCGTCCAGTGCCCCTTGCTCTTTGCGTACGGCTTTCTCGAAGCCATGCCTGACAACACCTAACCACAGTGTCTACACTTCTTTGCACTCTAACTGCAATTGCCCGAAAAGAAAGTCCAGCTTCCCGAAGTCCCACTATACGGCCCCTATCAAACTCACTAAGTTGACGAAATCGTACAGGTCTCCGTACTCTAGGCATCGTAACCGATCGTAAAGGATGTCAAGAACCAAAATCCGCCAACGTTGATTCTTTACTGCGGCTGAAATATTCATTTTTAGAGCGTTAGTGAATTAAAAAAAAGCAGTATAAAAGCCGGAATGTCCAACTGATAAGGCTGAAAATTTTTTCATTTGTTATTTACAGTAAGATAAATACATTCACCAACTTTTATTAAAATAAAACCATTTAAACTGGGTGTTCGGATCTATATGTCACTTAGTATATAATTATCTCCATTTTCCGTTTCAATCTTATCCAATTCACCCTCTATTTATTTTCCAGGAAGCATATCCAGTAAAGCTGAAGGAAGTCCACGTAGTAAACGTATCACCATTGGTAGATACAATTGTCGGATGGGTTAAGCCCTTCCTTAAGGAGAAAATTAAGAACCGTATCCACATGCATTCCGACTTCGAGTCTCTATACAAGTTCGTACCCAAGGAAGTGCTGCCAGAAGAATACGGGGGAACTGCCGGAAAATTACAAGACTTCCACGGTAAGGGCGCTAATAGTGGCGTAGTAAAGTACTTATTTACTCTTCTGTCACTTTTAACTGTGAGAATAATGCAAGAAGTATGTAAAAGGTCATATTTGTTTATACTTTTGAGTAGTAGAACAGTAAGGATACAAAAGGCATAGACGTATGGAAGCTTTGCGGATGAGAGGCCGACTCTCCGGTCGTAAGATATCGATTGTATTTTACGGGTTCTTCCCTTCTCCCAGCGTCAACTCAGGTATTCTCCAATGGTCGGTGTTTGCAACAATACTGTTTTTGATACATCTATCGACCATCACTATTGACTTCCTGTCTTGTCGATCCTGTGACACTACTCACCGTCCAATCATCATTTTCTCAAGAAAATTCTCCGTCTCTTCCTAGATTGTCCGGCATGTTTTTTCCCGTCCGATGTTTCCTATATAACTCTGGTTGTGAGACGGTTATCATCACTATGTATACTAAGTGACATATAAATCCGAACACCCAGTTTAAATGGTATTATTTTAATAAAAGTTGGTGAATGTATTTATCTTACTGTAAATAACAAGTGAAACAACTTTCAGCCTCATCAGTTGGACATTCCGGTTTTTATACTGCTTTTTTTTTAATTCACTAACGCTCTAAAAATGAATATTTCAGCCGCAGTAAAGAATCAACGTTGGCGGATTTTGGTTCTTGACATCCTTTACGATCGGTTACGATGCCTAGAGTACGGAGACCTGTACGATTTCGTCAACTTAGTGAGTTTGATAGGGGCCGTATAGTGGGACTTCGGGAAGCTGGACTTTCTTTTCGGGCAATTGCAGTTAGAGTGCAAAGAAGTGTAGACATTGTGGTTAGGTGTTGTCAGGCATGGTTTCGAGAAGGCCGTACGCAAAAAGCAAGGAGCACTGGACGCCGCCGTAGAAAAACAGACCGTGAAGATCGCCGCCTAAGATTATTGGCCTTAAGGGACCAGGTCCATTGCAAATGAATGGTTTGCAGAACACGGAAGACCTATTGGCATGCGAAGTGTTTACCGACGAATGAGAAGTTTTGGCTTGTTTTCATACCGGCCACACTGGGTCCTCCCTTTAACTCGAGAACACCGACGTAATCGCCTTGAGTGGTGCAGCGAACGGTCACTCTGGGATCAGGAATGGAACAGTATTGTCTTTAGTGACGAGTCTCGATTTTGTTTAGGCATGCACGATGGTCGTGCCACGGTTAGAAGGCGACGTGGTGAAAGGAGGAATCCACAGTCTTTTGTTGAAAGACATGTTCATCACACTGTTGGAGTTATGGTTTGGGGTGCTATAGCTTATGGTTCCAGGTCACCTTTAATCTTCATCAGAGGTAACATGAACGCGCAGCGTTATATCCACGAAGTTCTAGAACCCCATCTTTTACCCTATCTTGACACCCTGGCAGATCCAACTTTCCAACAAGATAATGCCCGACCACATGTTGCAAGAGTCACAATAGACTTCTTTCAACATAATGATGTCACATTGTTACCATGGCCACCAAGATCTCCCGACTTATCCCCAATTGAGCACGTGTGGGATATGATGGGTAGGAGATTGCTCAATTTGCAACGTCCTCCTCAGACACTAGAAGCACTTCGAGAGGAGTTGGTGGTTGCCTGGAATGAGATACCACAGGAGGACATTGACCACCTGATCAGAAGCATGCCTAGGCGCGTTGGAGAATGCGTAGCACATCAGTGTGCATCCACACATTATTAAAGGTGAAAGGGCTTTAAAGCAGTGCAATCATTTTGAAATTTTTATCATTTACTTATTATGCTTCATTAAGTACTCATACAAAATTTTATTAAAATAAAACCATTTAAACTGGGTGTTCGGATTTATATGTCACTTAGTATATTATGAACTACCTCCCAAGTCTAAACTTATAGTAATGGAAAATTTGTTCAAATATTTCAGACGCATGGATCGAAAAGCTTAAGGAATACACTCCCTGGTTCAAACAACAAGAAAACATCAAGGCAGACGAATCCAAGCGTCCTGGGAAACCAACAAACTACGATGATCTATTCGGCTTGGACGGCAGCTTCAGGCAGCTCAAGATCGACTAGAGCTAATAATCAAATATAACATCAGTATCTCTACAACCTTCTATCCGTCTGTGATGCCTGCAACATTCCATTATCTCGAATATTATTTATTACTAAGAGCTGATCATATCATGGTGAACTTGTCTTCCAACTTTAAACTTTAAGTTATCCTTATTCTACGATGTGATACCATGTAGCTGTAGAAATACTTCGACTTAAAGTACCTTGCTTTATACCACATCACTTAGATCGTATACTTTTTCAACAATACCATGGATTAAGGAAATCTTGCTAAAATGTTTCAAACTTAAGTATGTTAATTGGGTATTGCTCTAGATAAATCTGTTATTATCATAAATAGTATTGTAATATATTACCATTATACTTAAACCCTCATTTTATATTTGGGAAGAAAGTTAGGTCTCTCATTAATTTATAGATGTAAAATCCACACTAATGCAATTTTATAAAACTGAGCCCACTGATGAAAGAAGTTGTTCTTTTATCATGGAATCTGGATTAAGGTTTTGTTTCACATACAGATGACTAAGACATTTTGACCTACCCTTATGCCGACAATTAAAATAAAACTACCAGCTACCTAAAGGTATGATAGTCCATTCAATGTGTGTATCAAAATTCAACCTCATGTGTTCAGTCATTCAGCTATTATCTAAGTTTAAGCTTCTTTGGTAATTAATAACATCTAATGTTTGTTCATAATATCACCTTGTTGTATTGAAACCATTTCAAGTTGAGTACGTATGCATTATATTCTTTAAAACGAAACCCATGCTAAGTATCGTTACCAAAGTTATTTACAACTTGCTATTAGTGTTTCGTATTAATGTGGATCTAAGCTTGTAAATAGTTAATAAAGGATCATACACAGTATATTTTTGATGTTTAGATTATCATATTATGGAAATAGCAAACCAACGTATTTTTAAGGAAACTAGCATGATCCAATCCGTTGAGCAACTAACAATAATAATAATGGAGAGCTGAAACCGGAAACGGAGGGGCTTATTATCGTCATGCACGATCAAGTAGCTAAAACTATCGGAAATACATACTGAGAGATGGAGTAGGAAGTGATATGTGTCGAAGATGTAATACGAGTAGAGCAATTGAGACGATACATTATTTTATATTAAGCTGCCAAGCAGTCACTCAAACAGAATGCAAGTTTAGACTTGATCAAGTGTTAGCACTAAAATTCCAGGTAATAGATAAACGAACCAATTATTATCGGTATGAACAGATAAAAGAATAGGATACAATAGGCCTGATATAGTCGTTAAAGATGAAAGAAAGAAGGAAACGCTTCTCATAGATATTGCCATTTCAAACAACAACAACAACCACATAAAGCAATCAATCATTAGGAAGAAAATCAATAAATGCATAAACCTTGTTTTGAAGCAAAGGAAATGTGGTGATCTTGGGTTGTACCAATGCTATAGTAATATGGCAGTAATTTCAAAGTCTTTATTTAAATCACTTAAGGAGTTAGACCTGAAATCTCAAAACTTCCAATTCATGCAAAAGTCAATGATACTGAGTACGTGCCATATAGTCCGGCGATTTCTGTATATGTGAGACCTAGCTTATTACGAAAGCACGACTCCGAAATAAGTTTTTAAAAAAGTTTTATTTTCGAAAACGTACAAAAAGTAAAGTAATACCGACCACAAAATAGCTAAGACTGAATACAATGCAAAATTAAGGTATATTTATGATCTCAGTAAAAAGTGTAAACTCAGCGAAATGCAAATCCACAAAATGTGCAGATCTGGTATATGTAACTTCCCCCACCGTAGAAACAACCAATGGTAAGCTTCTTTTTCCTGAATAACTTCTATCTTCTTTGATTTTACCTTACGTCTTCTTATCATTAAACAATGGCTTTTTCTTTTCTGCTCGTTATCTTTTAATGCATGCTTTGACGGCCAGGTAGCCAAGAATGATATTGTTATAACAATTAGGGCATACAAAAAGATGGTCTAGGGCGGCTCTAATATTGTTCGCTGTTTCAAAGTTAATGGACTCCAGCTGAAGAGGTTCCAAATTGGCAGTGTGAGTTTTTAGGAAGCCTTCAAATACTAGCATTGGTAGTGCAATATTCTTAAATCTTGATTTTGGGTTCCGGCGACTTTTTGTAACAGTTGAACCCATATCAACCTCACCATTTTGGAAATTTTCTAGTAGGTATGTTAGTTGGAGAGGAGTTTTGTCTTGGATTTCACCACATTGACATGTAACATTTGTCCTGTCGGTAATAATTGACAACAACAGCGGACTTTCTCTTACTCAAGGGCTGACCCAGCTGGTGACGAGCCCTACTTTTTTCCCCGCATCTCGTCACACGCCAGCAGCCTGCTGGATCTCTTTCTGACCACGCATCCTGTCCCTTATAGCATTGCTATCCTGTCCCACCCGGGTAACTCAGACCACGGTGTTGTGGAGGTTAGGTTTCGGTCAGAAGCCGCTGTGGCAGCAGAAACTCGCACAGGCCGCAAAACTTGGCATTACGGACATGCCGACTGGGAGGGGCTGAGAGACTTCTTCTCTAGCTTCCCTTGAAAAGATGTCTGTTTCACTGACGCGGATGCGTCGGCTGTCTGTTCTTCGATAACCGAAATTATCCACGTCGGAATGTAGGAATACATCCCTCACACAGTGAAAGTGCCTAGACCAGAGTCCAACGGCTGGCTTAACAAATCGTGTGACGCTGCTCGCCAGCAGAAGATCAAGGCACACAGAACCTTCTTACAAAACCCCAATCTAAAGAACAGACAAGCCGACGTTAGGTCCAGAAACAAATATAAAGAAGCGGTTTGCAATGCCTAAAACCAGCACGACATATAAGTTAGGCACAGGGTAATGTCGCAAGCAGATTGAAAAGAACTTCTCACACAGTAGCCTTCCACCACGTATGTGTCAGAATGGATCTATTGTATTCGACTCAAAGGCCAAGGCGGAAGTGCTAGCCAAGATCTTTGCTGCCAACTCCACCATGGACGTGCCCCCCAACGCCCAGGTGTCGTCAATTCAAAGGGTTCCCTACACTATGCGGGAGGTAACATTCAGGCATAAGACCGTAAGACGAGTGCTCTTGTCATTCGATTTCAACAAAGCTTCTGGTCCGGACTTGATTCCTGCCATTGTACTGAAGAGGTGTGCAGCAGAGCTTGCTCCAGTTCTTTCGCGTCTCTTTCAGATATCTTATGAATCCAGCACGTTCCCAGAAAACTGGAAATTTGCTCATGTCCAACCCATCCCAAAAAAGGGATCCAAGACCGACCCTTACAACTACAGGCCCATAGCTCTGCTTTCTGTTTTAAGTAAGGTGATGGAGAGGTCCATAAATCGCGAGCTTCTGGACTACCTCGAACGTCACAGCTTGATTAGCGACATGGCGTATGGTTTCCGGCACCAACGATCCACAGGGGACCTCCTAGCCTACGTCACGCAATTGTGGAGGAAACTCATCCAGTCTTATGGTAATGCTCATGTCGTTGCTCTTGACATCATGAAAGCGTTCGATCAGCTGTGGCACGCTGCCCTCTTAAGCAAACTTCCATCCTATGGCCTTCCAGAAAATCTTTGCAGATGGGTGGCTGACTTTATCTCTGGCCGCAAGATATCCGTCGTAATTAACGGGTTCTCTTCTTCATCCCACAACGTCAACGCGGGTATGCCCCAGGGATCGGTCTTGGCTCCAACACTGTTTCTCTTACATATCAACGACCTCCTTTCCTGCTCGATCAACCCAATCCACAGCTTCGCTGATGACAGCACTCTACATGCAGGAATTCAGAGTGACAAGTCGATCTCTGCCGCTGAGCTGGAAAGAAGAAGACTAGCGACGACTTCATCTCTGACAAGAGACTATCACTGGTTGGGGACGCAACAATCTTGTACAGTTCAATGCTTCCAAAACACAATACTGTACTTTGACGAACAAAAAGCGTCCTAGTGCTCATCCGGTTTCGATGGATGGCCGAGTTCTGCCAACGAGCCATTCCTTTCTGCTGGTCGGAGTCCAGATCACCGAGGACCTGATCTGGCACGAACACATCTCGTCAATAGCAGCAGCTGCTGGGAAAAATCTAGGCTATTTGTGTAGTGCTAAGAAGTACTTTTGTCCGCATGACCTTCTCACGCTATACAAGGCCGCTTCTTTGTCCCGAAGGTGTCGAGATTGCGGAACAATCTACAAGAGGAGGCTTTTCCCAGTTGTACTAACCTTAGGCAGTTCAAATCGTATTAACAAAATTTCTTTGGGATCATCATAGCAGCCGCGGTGTTCCATTTAGGCTTCTGCCTGCGCGGCTGCTTCGATAAAAAAATCTAGATTTCCTGTTATAAGTTTTTAAATTGACCCAAGTACATTAATCACTCCTCTTTCCTGTTCTCTGTTATAAATGGGATTTATTTCTAACAATTGATCATGAATCTTCGATCCCAGGCGAGGATCCTAAAATATGTATAATTTCCATTTTATGTGAATTTATTTTTTATTTTTTCTTTGTTATGTCCTAAAATTTCTATTAGTTCGAATGGATCTTTGAATTTGTTGTCTTTCTTATTTCTTCTTATAGACTACTTGTCCTACTTTGAACTGATATTGTAGGCTACCATAAAACGTTGCATTTTTCGAGTACTTTATTTCTTTGTAGGTTATTCGAAATACGTTGGTGCACGTGTTTCATTTTCTCCTTGTGGTCTTTACGATAAGGTCCGAAGGGTCTCTGAAAATAGTGTGGTCAAAAGTCAATTCAAATAAATATAGTGAATTTGAAAAATAATATAATGCTCTACAAATTCGATATATTATTTTGCTTGAATTGCAGTTGCTTGCCCTAATTTAGCAAATACATTATTAATTACACTGATCAACAGCCAAAAAATATCCTAAATAAAATCAACAAAATATTACTATTTTTAATGTGCTAAAACCGAAATGAAACTTATTTTTTCAATATTAGTTCAAGTTTTAGAGATACGGTAATTATAATTGTTCCTGCTGTGACAGTGTTAATATACTGTAATTCACAAGAATGCACGTGCTACATTTCTATATTCGGCAAGGAAAGATGATGTAATCGGCATGATTGTGTTACGTTATACATACGTGTACATTATATTGTTTTATATTAGCCATTTTTTCCTCAGTTGGCTGACAGCGTTCATGCAAGATGTCTCGAAAGTGTGTAAACAATACAGATCAGTTTTGTTACGTGTGTGGTGATGTGACTTTTGCGTCTTAGAGACGGTCTATTACTCCACTAATAACAAAGGCATATCAGCTTTATTTCGGTTGTAAACTAGGTGATCAAGACAAACAGTGGGCAACCCACATCTGTTGTAATACATGTGCTTCAAGTCTGAGGAGCTGGTTAAATGGCAAAAACGGTCTATGCGCTTTGCTGTCCCAATGGTTTGGAGAGAGCCTACAAATCATATTAATGATTGTTACTTTTGGATTGGTACCTTGTGTTGGACAAGCCACAGGTATGTCCAAGAAAAAAAAATCGGTTATTAACTACCCAAACATGCCATCTGCGATGAGACCTGTGCCTCACAGTGACGAAAATCCTATTCCAAAACCCCCAGAATCCTACACTTGCGAATCAGAAAACGAATCAGATCATGGCGATCAAGTGATTCGTCAGGAAGAAGATATACCATCAACGTCAAGAGATCCTGATTTTATACCGAGCACGTCATGCCACCAACCGCACAAAATAATACAGTCAGAATTAAATGATCTTGTAAGAGATTTAGAACTTCCAAAATGTAAGGCAGAGTTACTTGGATCAAGTCTGCAGCAGTGGAACTTGTTAGAAGACGATGTTTCGGTATGTGTTTTTCGTAAACGCCACAAAGACTTAGAAC